AAAAAAAAAAACCAAAAAACTAAATAAGATGACTGCCTGCTAAAATAAAAGATTTAAACTAGGACCCACAGTCTCCTAATATAATAGGTAAAATATCCAGGATACAATAAAAAATTAGTCACCATATCAAGTGCCAAGAGAATTACAACTTGAAGGAAAAAAAAAAAAAATCAATTGATGTCAACACCGAGATGCAGCACCAAATTAAAATTATAGAAATAAAAAAATACAGTAACAAATTGTAAAAAAAACTCACTGGATTGATGACAGAAGCTAAAATAAGTGAACTTGAGGACAGATCAAAATAATTCATCCAGAGAAAATCAACCTTTTTTAAGTGATTGAAAAAAGAAAATTCTGAATAGAGCCTTAAGCACTCAACATTCCTACTATCAGAGTCCCAGAAAAAAGAGGAGAAACACAACATGCCTGAAAGAGTATTTGAAGAAATAATGCCTGAAAACTTCCCAAATTTGACCAAAGACACAAAACTGTGGACTCAAGATGAGCAAATCCCACATAGGATAAACCCAAGAAATATTCTTAATTAAACTTCTGAAAAGTAAAAATAAAACAAAATCTTGAAAGCGGCCAGAGAGAAACACGTATTATTTATGGCAAACACCAATTCAAATGTCAGGGGGTTTCTCATCTGAAACCATGCAGGCCAGAAGGAAACTGCACACAATTTTTAAAATGTTGAAAGAAAATAACTCAATGGCTATTTCTATATCTGATGAAACTATTCATTTGCAGACAAAGCATAACTGGAAGGATTTGTTGCTGGCAGACCTCCCATTAAAGATTGGCTGAAGAAGGTCTTTAAACAAAAATGAAATGACAAAAGAAAGAATTCTGGAGCATGAGAAAGGATAATGGAACAACAGAAAGAACACAAATATGCGTACATAGAGTATCCTTTTCCACGTGAGTTTTATAAACCATATTTGATGACTGAAACAAAAATCTTAACACTATCTGGTACTCAAGACAATGATATTTAAAAATGGAGAAAGTAAATGAAAGTGAGTTTTCACTATTCACTCTAAGTGGTAAAATGTTGGTACTAGTAGACCGTGATAAGTAAACACACAAACACACAAACACCCCTTATACATAAAGCTACACAAGGCAAGCACTATGAAAACTATGCAAAGAGATACACTCAGAAACATACATCAAGATGGAATCCTAAAAAATGTTCTAGTAGGCAAGGAAAGGAAAGGGGGAAAAAAAAAAAGAGGAATGAGAACCAAAGGAAATAAACAGAAAACAAATAATAAAATGGTAGGCGTAAGCATGAACATACCAATAATTACCATAAATGCAAAT